GTACTTCACTCTCATAGTTCCTTTCAATAGCGTAAAAGTACTTCATTGTTTCATAACTGCTCTAAATTCTGTTCAAAATTCGTACAACATAACTTTTAACATTAGTGAAAGAACATGAGCGTAAATGTTTTGTCAAACATGAGCGTAAATGTTTTTGTCAAACATGAACGTAAATGTTTTTGTCAAGACTTCTTCATCGTAATGAGTGTAAATGTTTTGTCAAGACTTCTTCGTAAATGATTTGTCATGATTTAATCGTAAATGTTTTTGTCAAACATGAACGTACATGTTTTGTCAAGACTTCTTCATCGTAATGAGTGTAAATGTTTTGTCAAGACTTCATCGTACATGTTTTGTCAAGACTTCTTCGTAAATGTTTTGTCAAGACTTCTTCATCGTAATGAGTGTAAATGTTTTGTCAAGACTTCTTCATCGAAACTAAACGTAAATGTTTTGTCAAACATGAGCGTAAATGTTTTGTCAAACATGAGCGTAAATGTTTTTGTCAAACATGAACGTAAATGTTTTTGTCAAGACTTCTTCATCGTAATGAGTGTAAATGTTTTGTCAAGACTTCTTCGTAAATGTTTTGTCAAGACTTCTTCATCGTAATGAGTGTAAATGTTTTGTCAAGACTTCTTCATCGTAATGAGTGTAAATGTTTTGTCAAGACTTCTTCATCGAAACTAAACGTAAATGTTTTGTCAAACATGAGCGTAAATGTTTTGTCAAACATGAGCGTAAATGTTTTTGTCAAACATGAACGTAAATGTTTTTGTCAAGACTTCTTCATCGTAATGAGTGTAAATGTTTTGTCAAGACTTCTTCGTAAATGTTTTGTCAAGACTTCTTCATCGTAATGAGTGTAAATGTTTTGTCAAGACTTCTTCATCGAAACTAAACGTAAATGTTTTGTCAAGACTTCTTCATCGTAATGAGTGTAAATGTTTTGTCAAGACTTCTTCGTAAATGTTTTGTCATGACTTCTTCATCGTAATGAGCGTAAATGTTTTGTCATGATTTCTTCATCGTAATGAGCGTAAATGACCCAAAAATATATTTTAGGTGAAGAGGTGAGATCTCACCTCTTTTCTCACCTCATTGAATTTTCATGATTTCTTCATCGTATATGTTTTGTCAAACATGAACGTACATGTTTTGTCATGACCTCATCATCGTAATGAGTGTAAATGTTTTGTCATGATTTCATCGTACATGTTTTGTCGAAACTTCTTCGTAAATGTTTTGTCATGATTTCATCGTAAATGTTTTTGTCAAACATGAACGTCAATGGTTTCGTTATGGTTTCATCGTATATGTTTTGTCAAACATGAACGTACATGTTTCGTCAAACTTAAACGTAAATGTTTTTGTCAAACATGAACGTCAATGGTTTCGTTATGGTTTCTTCATCGTAATGAGCGTAAATGATCCAAAAATATATTTTAGGTGAAGAGGTGAGATCTCACCTCTTTTCTCACCTCATTGAATTTTCATGATTTCTTCATCGTAATGAGCGTATATGCTTTGTCATGATTTCATCGTAAATGATTTGCCAAACATGAACGTAAATGATTTGTCAAAACTTCATCGTATATGCTTTGTCAAGACTTCTTCATCGTAATGAACGTATATGCTTTGTCAAACATGAACGTAAATGATTTGTCGAAACTTCATCGTATATGTTTTGTCATGACTTCTTCGTATATGTTTTGTCAAGACTTCTTCATCGTAATGAACGTATATGCTTTGTCAAACATGAGCGTAAATGATTTGTCGAAACTTCATCGTATATGCTTTGTCAAAACTTCATCGTACATGTTTTGTCGAAACTTCATCGTAATGAACGTATATGTTTTGTCATGATTTCTTCGTTTATGTTTTGTCATGATTTCATCGTAATGAGCGTATATGCTTTGTCATGATTTCATCGTATATGTTTTGTCATGATTTCTTCGTATATGCTTTGTCATGACTTCTTCATCGTAATGAACGTATATGTTTTGTCATGACTTCTTCATCGTAATGAACGTATATGCTTTGTCAAACATGAGCGTAAATGATTTGTCGAAACTTCATCGTATATGCTTTGTCAAACATGAACGTAAATGATTTGTCGAAACTTCTTCATCGTAATGAGTGTACATGTTTTGTCGAAACTTCATCGTATATGCTTTGTCATGATTTCATCGTATATGTTTTGTCATAATTTCATCGTTTATGTTTTGTCAAACATGAACGTAAATGATTTGTCAAAACTTCATCGTATATGTTTTGTCATGACTTCTTCATCGGAATGAGCGTTTATGTTTTGTCATGATTTCATCGTACATGTTTTGTCATGACTTCTTCATCGTAATGAGCGTATATGCTTTGTCATGATTTCATCGTAATGAGTGTAAATGATTTGTCGAAACTTCATCGTAAATGTTTTGTCAAGACTTCTTCATCGTAATGAGTGTAAATCAGACAAAAATAATGTTTAGGTGAAGAGGTGAGATCTAACACCTTTTCTAACATGTTTTCTAACATGGAGGATTTCATTAGATATACACATTCTTCCTTCATTTCATTCTATACACAAATTACATCATAGACGATTTAATAGATATAATACTTTACTGTTTCATCTGATATAAACATTCTTCCCTAAACATTATTTTAGTTAAAGTCCATCAAATATTTTTAGGATACTTTCACCAAATAATGTGTATATCTAATGAAATCCTCCATGTTAGAAAACATGTTAGAAAAGGTGTTAGATCTCACCTCTTCACCTAAACATTATTTTTGTCTGATTTACACTCATTACGATGAAGAAGTCTTGACAAAACATTTACGATGAAGTTTCGACAAATCATTTACACTCATTACGATGAAATCATGACAAAGCATATACGCTCATTACGATGAAGAAGTCATGACAAAACATGTACGATGAAATCATGACAAAACATAAACGCTCATTCCGATGAAGAAGTCATGACAAAACATATACGATGAAGTTTTGACAAATCATTTACGTTCATGTTTGACAAAACATAAACGATGAAATTATGACAAAACATATACGATGAAATCATGACAAAGCATATACGATGAAGTTTCGACAAAACATGTACACTCATTACGATGAAGAAGTTTCGACAAATCATTTACGTTCATGTTTGACAAAGCATATACGATGAAGTTTCGACAAATCATTTACGCTCATGTTTGACAAAGCATATACGTTCATTACGATGAAGAAGTCATGACAAAACATATACGTTCATTACGATGAAGAAGTCATGACAAAGCATATACGAAGAAATCATGACAAAACATATACGATGAAATCATGACAAAGCATATACGCTCATTACGATGAAATCATGACAAAACATAAACGAAGAAATCATGACAAAACATATACGTTCATTACGATGAAGTTTCGACAAAACATGTACGATGAAGTTTTGACAAAGCATATACGATGAAGTTTCGACAAATCATTTACGCTCATGTTTGACAAAGCATATACGTTCATTACGATGAAGAAGTCTTGACAAAACATATACGAAGAAGTCATGACAAAACATATACGATGAAGTTTCGACAAATCATTTACGTTCATGTTTGACAAAGCATATACGTTCATTACGATGAAGAAGTCTTGACAAAGCATATACGATGAAGTTTTGACAAATCATTTACGTTCATGTTTGGCAAATCATTTACGATGAAATCATGACAAAGCATATACGCTCATTACGATGAAGAAATCATGAAAATTCAATGAGGTGAGAAAAGAGGTGAGATCTCACCTCTTCACCTAAAATATATTTTTGGATCATTTACGCTCATTACGATGAAGAAACCATAACGAAACCATTGACGTTCATGTTTGACAAAAACATTTACGTTTAAGTTTGACGAAACATGTACGTTCATGTTTGACAAAACATATACGATGAAACCATAACGAAACCATTGACGTTCATGTTTGACAAAAACATTTACGATGAAATCATGACAAAACATTTACGAAGAAGTTTCGACAAAACATGTACGATGAAATCATGACAAAACATTTACACTCATTACGATGATGAGGTCATGACAAAACATGTACGTTCATGTTTGACAAAACATATACGATGAAGAAATCATGAAAATTCAATGAGGTGAGAAAAGAGGTGAGATCTCACCTCTTCACCTAAAATATATTTTTGGGTCATTTACGCTCATTACGATGAAGAAATCATGACAAAACATTTACGCTCATTACGATGAAGAAGTCATGACAAAACATTTACGAAGAAGTCTTGACAAAACATTTACACTCATTACGATGAAGAAGTCTTGACAAAACATTTACGTTTAGTTTCGATGAAGAAGTCTTGACAAAACATTTACACTCATTACGATGAAGAAGTCTTGACAAAACATTTACGAAGAAGTCTTGACAAAACATTTACACTCATTACGATGAAGAAGTCTTGACAAAAACATTTACGTTCATGTTTGACAAAAACATTTACGCTCATGTTTGACAAAACATTTACGCTCATGTTTGACAAAACATTTACGTTTAGTTTCGATGAAGAAGTCTTGACAAAACATTTACACTCATTACGATGAAGAAGTCTTGACAAAACATTTACGAAGAAGTCTTGACAAAACATGTACGATGAAGTCTTGACAAAACATTTACACTCATTACGATGAAGAAGTCTTGACAAAACATGTACGTTCATGTTTGACAAAAACATTTACGATTAAATCATGACAAATCATTTACGAAGAAGTCTTGACAAAACATTTACACTCATTACGATGAAGAAGTCTTGACAAAAACATTTACGTTCATGTTTGACAAAAACATTTACGCTCATGTTTGACAAAACATTTACGCTCATGTTCTTTCACTAATGTTAAAAGTTATGTTGTACGAATTTTGAACAGAATTTAGAGCAGTTATGAAACAATGAAGTACTTTTACGCTATTGAAAGGAACTATGAGAGTGAAGTACATGACAGCAATGACAAAAGGAACTAATATCAAACCTAATGAAATCGCTCACGAGGACATAGAGCTTAACAAGTACTTTGTGGAGTATCTTATAAGTGAAGAGTATGTAAGACCTTACTTCATGTTTGACAGCATGAATGAGGATGTTATTTCATGGTTAAAGAATATAAGCAATGTTTTCGGTAAGTACGTCATAGATGACAAAGGTCTTGTTGTATTTTATGAGACAGCAATACGAACACAGGAACTAATGGATATTATGCACTCAACAGCAAAGAAAGGATTTAGTACTATTGGCATGAATGAACATTGCAGGAATGACATATACAACCTATGCTCACGAAAGCCTTACACAAAAGCAATACAAATGATAGAACATAAGTGTCTAAGGTCAGCAAATGAAATCATTACTGTCAGTGGTTATGAAAGAACTGTTAGCAAAGATGAGTGGAAACAGCTATTCATATTAAGGAAGGACGTTGCTGAACTAGTTAAACCTGTTGCACAAACATTGTTTCAGATAAGACCAGCAATGACTAAGAACCCTTTGACCTTAGTCAATGAGACCATAGAGGTTGAAGATAATGACATGAAAGAACTAGGAATGAATGAGAGAAGTTGTGAAGGATGTTTGAGTCAAAACACATGGTTCTTCAGAGCTGTTAAGAAACTTAGTAAAGAACGACAGAAATATTTTATAGAGAAGTATTGCAAAGGATGTGTAAATGAATTGCTTGAAATAGAACTTAGAGACACTTTCACACTAAAGGACTTGAGAAGAAATAAGTACATGAGTGAAGAAGGTATTGACATAGCTAGTGTTATAAATGACTTAAGAAGATGTGTTGTCGTTATTGACGGAGCACGTATGACATATCTAGTGAAAGATTATGATGGAATACGAGACACAACAACACTTGTATCAATAGATAGCAAGGAATTCAATAAGCTCATGAAGAGTATTTATGTAGGACGTATTGAGGAGAAGGATGTGAACGCACTGATGATTTATGAAGCGGGTCAGAACAAGAACTATCTTATGAAGTCAGGCATGAGATTCTTTGACGAAAGAGATGACATTTACAGCTATTTCAGAGGATATGAGTATGAGGTACTGAATGAAGTAGATGAAAGCGTTATTGAAGGATATTTGAAACATGTTCACGATGTCATATGTAATGAGGATGAAGAGCTTTATGAGTATGTTTTGAACTGGTTCGCCTACATCGTTCAAAATCCTTGTGGAAAGACTGGAACAGTACTTTTGTTAATAGGAAAGCAAGGAACTGGTAAGAATGTACTTAGTAATGTTCTATGCGAGCTCATTAGCAAGTACGCCAACAATAATATAACGGCAATAGAGAATGTGGTTGGTAGATTCAATGCTGCTATTGAGAACATGAAGCTCATCGTATGCAATGAACTAAGCTCATGCGATACGTCTAAGGTCATGAACCACGACGCACTAAAGTCAATAGTAACAGAGACTCAGTTGGACTTAAATCAGAAGTGTCAGCCAGTAAGAAAGATAGAGAATGTTTGTAATATCATCATGATATCTAACAACTTCAACTCAGTAAAGATTGACAAAGACGACAGAAGATTTGTTGTCATTGACGTAAGCAGCAGATACAAAGGAAATTACGAATATTTCTCAAATCTCATTGAAAGCTTTAATGAAGAGTTTTATTCAAACTTACTGACGTACTTCATGAGGAAAGATTTAAGTGAATTTGATGTAAGGAAGATACCATTCACCAGGGCTAAACAAGAACTCATCGAAATGAACAAAACACCTTACCAAATGTTTTACGAGGAGTTCTATGAAAAGTTTGTATCCGGATGGAATTGTACAGAGTGCTACAGAAGATATAAAGAATTTGCGAAGGAAATGAATTCTTTGCATGTAGTTCAAATGTATTTGGTGGCAAGATGAGAGAATTTGTGAAGAGAAGTAGAAAGCGAGACGGTTCTGCAAGAAGTTATATTTACGAAGCAAGTATGATATTAGAAGGTCGTGGAAAGAAAGAAACAGTGAATTATGAGGAAGTGCTTGAAAAATTCATGGAGTACATGGGAAGCAATATAACATACAACAAAGACATATACAGTGAGTTTAAGTACTACTGTGAACAGCATGAGATTGAAGTAATGAGTAAAGGAGACTTTGAAACGCTTATGAAAGACAGTAAGGAGGTCGTTCATGAGAACAGTGTTGAAATAGTTCATGAGAACAGTGAGGAGGTCATACATGAATGCAATGATGAAATAGTTCATGAGAACAGTGAGGAGGTCATACATGAGAACAGTGATGAAATAGTTCATGAGAACAGTGAGGAGGTCATACATGAGAACAGTGTTGAAATAGTTCATGAGAACAGTGAGGAGGTCATACATGAGAACAGTGATGAAATAGTTCATGAGAACAGTGAGGAGGTCATACATGAGAACAGTGATGAAATAGTTCATGAGAACAGTGAGGAGGTCATACATGAGAACAGTGATGAAATAGTTCATGATGTCGTTCGTGAAGAAGCCATTGCAACAAAGAATAATATAAAGGATTTCATAGAACTTAACAAGGAGGAGTTTAAAGAAGGCTATGAAGTGAAAAGATGTGAAGAAGATTTCTTGGCGTATTTGAAGAAAAAGAGACTAAAGCCAATGGCTCAAAATAAGTTTCAATCGATGTTTGAAAAGAAACGTTTGAGCTATGGTGGTGTAAGAAGCACATATTACTTTGTTAAGAAGTGAGGACATTTATTTTTGTCGTTAGTGTTGGAGTTTGTGTTTGTTGTTAGTGTTTGTCATTTGTGCTGAAGTTAGTACTTGATGTTAGTGTTGGAGTTTGTGTTTGTTGTTAGTGAGAGAATAAATTAAATCATGAACTTTGCCATGGTCTCTGTCCCTAGTAGTTTTCATTAAGTTCTGGAAATAATGAAAGTCATAAACTTTGCCATGGTCTCTGTCCCTAGTAGTTTTCATTATCTCACAGAGTTAATGAAAGTCATACTTTCTATCAGATGAAGCATGCAGATGAACATAATGAAAGTTAGTGAGTTTGCCACGAGTTATGAATAAAATATTGGCATATTAGATAAGATAGCTGATGAAACAGATGAAGATAAATTAAATCTTGGACTTTGCCACACTCTGTCCCTAGTTCCTCAAAATCCTTGACAACGTTGCTTAGAAATTTTGGTTCAAAACCTCATCTGATTTTAATCTGTTATGCTACCTGTTAAGTTTCGCGAGATTATAAATGTCATGGAGTTATATAAAAAGGAGGGACAGCTAGGGGCACTGGAAGTACTTGTAAGGCTATCTGTTAAGATTGCATGAAATACTAAAAAGTCATGAAATACATTATCGCTGTGCTAGCTTCACCTTAGAGTAAAATGTCAAATAAAGTCACTGAAGCAATGAAACAAAAGTTTTTGGTAGAATACCTTAAATCAGGAACTATTCCAGAAGGTTTTTACGTTCATACTATGAAGGATGGTAGAGTTCAGTTTAGAAAGATAAAGCAACCATTAGATAAAGAAGGTATATTAAGGAAGATTAAACTTCATGAGGCCAACATTGCTAAACTTAAGAAGAAGTTAGAAGAGTTGGAGAAAGGAAGAGAGTTATAAAGCAATGAATTCAAGTGGGTGAAAAAACAGGTGAAAAAAGAGGTGAGATCTCACCACTTCACCTAAATTTAAATGGATGTTTTCATACGTGTGAGGGTGGTGATATCATTAATTTTTAAGTTTATTTTATTATTTTACTGAAAATTTTTATTTGGATGTAAATGACAGAACAAAAGCAACTCATTCGAATTCCACAGTATAACAAACATACATTTAAACATTTATTCTTCCTTCCTGAGCATAACATTTCTTTCAAATACATCCGAGACCAGTTGACTTTTCATTGACTGTTTATAAAGATAGAAATAGTTATATCATTAAACCATACGATGACGAAGGTAAGTTATGTAAATTGTACGTTAAGAAGTTAGAGAAAGTTTATGGCTTCAAGTATGACTACAATAGGGTTAACACTGATGATGAAGATATTGAGGAAAATTTATGAGAACATTAGTGAAGTTGTTAGTGAGAACGATAGTGAGAACGTTTATTTTTACATTAGTGAGTTCGTTAGTGAAGTGAAGTGGGTGGTGGTTTTGTAAATATTTAAGGTTAAGTTAGTGTTGTCGTTTGTGTTGTAAAATATACGTTAACGGTTTTGTAAAGTGTCAAATTCACAAGTATTGGGTAAGGTGGAACGCAGTGCCACCATAACCAAGACTTGTATACTAACTATATTTTTCTATGTCCTCTTTGAAAACATTTGTATAGTTAAGATATAAAACTTTTGACATAAGTGTTTCAATGTCATGAACTCTTATAGCACCACTATATAATAGTCTAGCAGATATACTATCCCAGTCTATATATTCTGCTTTTTTCAAAACCTCTCTCACAATATTTTTCTTATCTAATGGTATACGTTCCATCTTACCTATAGGTATCTTTTCTTTTAACTCTTTCAATATATTGTTTGTGTCTGGAATATGTTTGAGACGGTCCATATAGTTGTCGAAGTCATTGCATATAATCTTTGAGTCTGGGAATATTATATGGCACAAATGGGATATATAGAAACTTCCACCGAACAAATCTACAAATGTTAGACCATTCGGTAGTTTCTTAAGTTCTCTCAATATAATATCTTTACATCTACTCTTATTTCCAAAGAACGGTAACGGTGGTTTTGTAAAATTCATTTATATATAATAATAAAAATGTTTTTACCCGAAAAGTGACAGAAAAGTGACAAAGCATGAAAACATATATAATTTGTGAAAAGTGAAACATTATATAATGTTTTCGACCCAGAAGAAGGCTTCTTCCCAGAAGCAATGGAGGAAGAAGAAGAGTCCTCCGAATTCACACCAGAAGACTAACAATTTTCCGAATAAAAACTTCATTTATACTAAACATCTTCGGGGCTAGAGGGCACGAAGTGCCTGGAAGCCCCACTACCTTTTTTTTTTTATTTTATACATGTATCATTAGCGAAGATGGATTTATCATTTTTACTAATTGGCTAGTCCTTATTTTTGGTTGAATTAAAAATCAAAAGTGATTTATTTAATTATTATATAATTAGCTTGATATTATAGTTAATAATAACTAATTATTTTGGAAAAAGAAATTGACGGGTGTATTTTAAATAAAAATACTTATAACTGTTGTCACTTATACTAATGCATATCTACATACTTAATGGTATATTTTTGTCCAGCAAAAAGACGATGAAATAGCAAAAAGAATAAAATTCGATTATTTAAGAGACGAACAATCTTTTTACTATCATGGTTGCTTCAATTTATCGCATGAAACTAACAGAATCAAAATATATTTAAATCTAATCTAATACACTTACGCCGATGCAATTTTGCACGCGATAATATGGTAAATTATTTGGACAGTCCAAAAAACCACTCACATCGATGACATGATAATACCAAAGATCATAAAAGACATTTACGTGTGAATATGAAAATGAATTATTTTATATCAGTATTTGGGGGATATAATCTTTAAATAAAAATAGATAAGTATAAATTATTTGATATATCTTGAATATTTATGAAACAAAATATTATCATGAAGCAAAATTATGGTTAATTTTTTGTAACAACATGATGCTAACAAGAGAGTAAATTTCCCGATTCCCCTTAAATTTTTGGGGCTTTTGTGCAAGTTATTTTGGTTTGCATGATTTGAATAAGACTATCTAAAGTTGCCTCAAAATCTCGATTGAAAGGCATTGAATTTAGTTTTGAGAAGACTTTTTTACATTTTGCGAATTACTAATTAGTATATCATTAAGATCATATTGTATTAAGTTATCAATTCTCTTAAATTTTGAAAGCTTAAGAAATTTAAAAGCACAAACAAATATATATTATTAAAATCATTGTATTGATCAATTTAAAAAATTTTGAAATTTTGAATTCGAATTTAAATGTAAGCTTTAATAGTTGTAACAGAATAGGAAGCATCACAGATGTTAATTTAGATTAATGAAAAGTTGAAATTTTTCCAATAAAATTTTATTAATGAAAAAAGATTCATGAAATACAATAATAGTAATATAAATATTTTATACAACATGTTATATAAGAGATCACTATAAATAGAATAGCTTTAAACAAAATAATCAAATCAAAATTTGTATTTGTAAACAGCAAGAGTGTTATATGCTAATATTATGTGTAACTACTCATTGGATAATGAATGCAATATAATACATTGATTTATTGGCTAAAGAAAAAAAATTATATCCTTCAATTTGGACAATCCGAAATTTTTCTCATTTTTTTGAATTGCATATATATGAATTTGCAATTGAGTGATATCAGCGAGAAACTTATATGCACGTTTAACTTTATCAGATTTCAAATGAAAACATGGATTTCATTGATTGTTTTTCAATACGAGCTCAACAAAAATGATACAAAGATGAATAAATAGTAGTGCCCCTAAAAACAAGGTAAAAAACAAAAAATTAGCAACAATATACTTAATTTCGGCCAATATGGTGAAAAGTGAATATGTCAAAAACATTTACTCCATCATCTTGTTATCTGTACCTCACGACAGACGAATATAAAGAGATATCAATTTCCAAAATTTTACCAAAAAGAGATTAGGCCTAATTTTTACGGCCAATCTTTATTATTTGTTACACAGATGCTAGATCCACTACTCCCCAAAACAATTCATTTTTTGAATGGCCATGTTTTTTAGGCCTTCATTTTATGAAAAATGCCAATATTATACGAATCTTAATATATTTATTTTTTTGTTCTCAATAAAGGTATTCAAAAGTCAATATAAACCATTCAAAATTGAGAGAAAACTCATTGAGAGGCTCGGAATTCGAGTAGTGAGGAAGGGTAAACTTTGAGAGCCAAAATTTCAATTCCCCTCAATATTTCAAAGCCCTTCTACTTAGATTTTGTGACTACCTTATATTGGTAAATGAACATTTTGAAGGTGAAACATTTCATCTTGTATAATGCTTTTTTATCTAATCCGAGTATACGCCCAAAATCAAAGCTATTACCTTAAGTTTATGGCATAACTTGCATTCATTTCAGTACTTTAAGTATTTAGCTTATGAGTTAAAGATGGAATGTCTCATTTTATATTTTTGTCATAAATGAGATTGATAGTATTAACTGGCGGCATTGCTTGCGGAAAATCAACTGTCGCAAAGATATTTGCAGAAAAATATAAAATTCCTATAATTGATGCTGATGAAATAGCTCACGATCAACAAAAACCCGGTGGAAAATCTTATAATAGAATTGTTCAAGAATTTGGGGAAGAATTCTTAAATAAAGATCGGACTATTGATAGAAAAAAACTTGGGGATCTAGTTTTTCAACATCCAGAGCAAAGAATGAAATTAAATCAAATCACACATCCACTTGTTCACCAGGAAATTAACAGACTGCTTTTTAAACATTTTTTAAATTGCGAGAAATATGTTTTCCTTGACATTCCTTTATTCTTTGAAGTAAAAAAGAGTTCAATGATTTACTCGGATATTATAACTGTAGCGTCTTCACCGGAAATTCAACTTAAACGACTTATGGAACGAAATAACTTCAGTAAGGAAGAAGCAGAAGATAGAATTAAAGCTCAAATGCCACTTGAAGAAAAATGCGCAAAATCTACAATTGTTATACAAAATGATAAGTCCCTAAAGGATCTTGAATTGCAAATTGATCATATTTATCAAAATTGGCAGAATTCGTTCCGAAAGGCAGATATTCTTTTTGATTTTCGCATCTCAATTGCATTGTTTATACTAGCATCATCTTATTCTATTTACTATTTTCTTATAAAATAATATTATTGTTATTAAATCTTTTCTATATTATAAAATCATGATGGAAAATTGAGTACTGTAGATATTTATTGTTGATCGTGACTTTAGTATTAATGCTGAATTGAGTGCTAAAGATAAAGAGGACATCAATAATTCTAAAATCACATATGTTATGTAAATTTGAATCGAATTATTTAAATTTTCAGATTTTGAATCATATGTAAATATTATATGCAAAGGATGTTACATCTAGTTAACGAATTCTTATATTTCTACTAATTAAGTAAATAAATTAATCAAATTATAGGTCATAAAATGTAGCTGAACCTACCTGAGCACTGAATAATTCCTTGGCGTTACTCACTGAGACATATTATGCTATCAACTTTTGGGATCACGAAAATAAAGTTGGAAGAGAATAAATATTAAAAGTGACAATATGAAATTTAAAGATGCAATTTTGGCTCCAATAAAGCACTTCAATGTGCCAGATGTCAAAACGCCATTATCCACAATACCAATTCCTCCTCTTTTCGTTTGCATGGCAATTGTTTGCGTCTCATTCTTTGTTATCATTGGAGGTTTCATTTATTGCATAATTCGCGATGTGGAATTCATTTCTGCAGCAAGAGGACCTGATGGAAAAGTAGTTCCTGTTGTAATTGCAGGTGGATATACGCAGACTGGAATAGAATCTTTTATTGTTGGTGCAATTTTTACAATTGGCGGAATTGCCCTTACATCAGGATTCAGATTTTTGCATGATCGTAACCAATCCAAGAAAGTTAAAAAGCAAGACGATTTAGATTTTAATGGCATATTTGGTTTGACTGCATTAATGTTTATATTCTTAATGTACTTGATCTTTGTATCAAAGATGGGAACGAACGTTCTCAGATTTACATCAAGATAAAATACAATGCACTCTACCTGAGTTATTATTACGACTAAACATATTTTTCTTATATCTTCGTAAATGAGAATGATTGTTTGAAATTTTCTCTTTTTACATTGTTGAATAGTGTAACATCTGTCATATTCTGAATTTCATAGTATACAAACTATAACATTGATTAAATAAGATGGATGCATTAATAATCGGGGGTAGTGAGCTAGTATGTATTTAATTTATGGAAACTTACATTATATCGCCATGAAAATTGTTTGAATTAAAACTAAATTTGTAGAATTCTAATGTGTTAATATTTTTGCTCAAAATGAATTATCAATGCCAAAATTTTCACTTTTTTAATGTATCGCTTTGTTCTTGTTGGCCAACAAGGGGTTGGTAAATCATCAATATTTAGCAGACTATCACCACAATCATCTCCATCGTTAGCTTTAGGTTCAAATCAATCTGTTCCTATTCCACCAGCATTATTCTCAGTTGTAACTCTTGATTTCCCTTCAACTAATTTTACTTCATCAACGTCATTAGATAACCTTCCACAAGTCTTATCAACAGCCCATGCTATACTTTTTATTATGTCAGATCCTGAAGATCCAAATCTTAATGATCTGATTTCTCTTCTAACCAAATACAATTTAAACCAAAAAAGATATGTATTCCTACACCAAGTTGATAAATTTGATAAAGAAAGTTATCCATATTTATTAGAAAAAGCGAAGCAAAATGCAAGTAGAAATGGTATAGATGAATCTCATTTCTTTGAAACATCTTTGTTTGATGGTAGTATTAATAGGACAATTCCAAAGATAGTTACGAGTTTAATGCTTCATTATTCTGAATTAGAAAATTACATCGCAAAACTCCACAAGTCATGTAATGCTACTTGCGTTATTATATGCGATGCCGCTACATACCTTCCGATTTGTAATTCCATGCCAAATCAACCAGAACAACCAACATCGATATTCGAATTTATACTAAAGGTATATCCAAAAGGAAACAAACTTACATCAGTAATATTCGAATGTAATAATTCTGTTGTAGTATTTAAGCCAATTAATGATAAAGCAGGTATTTTTATTACTTCTTCTGCAGATGGAGTTACAACAGATGGGATACAATTTAATATTAATCATGCGCTTCCAACATTAAGGAAATTAATTTCTATCGAATAAATGTTTATATTTTTCAGAAATATGCTATTTCATTATTGAATGATGTTATAGATATTAGAAACTGTACATGAATTTTATTATTAGTTTCTCCTTTAATATATAAATCAAAAGTTGGGATTTCAATCGGACACATTGCAAAGATTAGAAGATTTTCAAAAATTTAAATCTATCGATACTTTAGAGACATTTGACAACTTTCTGACAAGACTTTTTACATCTTATAAAGAAAATAACCATAATATAAAAAAAGAAATATATATAAAATGATTGAATGAAAAGAAGCTTACAGAATAATAGACTTGTGGACCTTCTGTAGCCACGAAATACAGCTCTAATTAGTGAATAAATATAATTAGAGAAATATGCTTCTTTTTGATTTCATTTTTAGAAGTGCCTCCACTCTGTATATTGAAATAAATGGCTTGGTACATAACTGGTAAACATGAGTCTAGTAGGTGATAGTAAATGCCTAACTCAGACTTATAGTACCCTTAGTTTCACCAGATTTAGATACATTGAATTTTCAATATTAGAGATCAGATTCTATTCAAAATTATTATAAATATTCTGAATTACCTCTATGTTCCCAGTCACTATTCAGATTTTGAAAAACGATAATCTGAAAAAATTGATTTGAAAATTATCGTTAAATGTTTTTCTTGGTTTCTTTCCTTCGTGCTGAATCAGAAGTTTATCATGCATTTAAATCCGGAGCTCAATGTCGCATATGTCATTCAATACATAAGAAGATGCACGATGTAGATTCCACAAAAATCGATGTTTCTCGTGATTCTCTACTAAAAGAATGCAATTCTATGCCAAAATCTACAAAAGGTCTATGTCAAATCATTGCTCTTGATTGGTATAGCCATATTCATCAATCAAAAGATGCTCAAAAGGCTTGTTCATTTGCTTGCGATGGAATCACAAGAAAAATTAAGACTCTTGAACATACCACCAGAAAGTCAAGACCACGTTCGCTTAGAGCCGAGCCGTTAGCTGTTCTCCCATGTGAAGGCTGCACTTCAATTGTTCAAGTCGCTCTGGAATTATTCCCAGAAATTGCTTCAGAATATTCAGAACCGGATTCAAACCCACTTCTTGAGGCCTGCCTAAAGGTTCCAATGTTCGCAGATAGGTGTCATCTTCTAACTCAAGAAAAAGTTACAAAAGTTTATAATTATGTGGCTGATAATCTTACTCCTTTGGAATTATGCAGCTCTTATGCTATGTGCTAAATTAAAAATCGAATTTTTAAAATCTTATTTTTTAACAACCAAAAACAATATGGTTATTGATGTTAAAGATCTACATGAAATGAAAAAATTAACATGTGTTTATCAAAGAAGCAATTAAAACAAAAAATTTTGAAAGGCCCTGTAGCGAAATGGATATCGCGTGTCCCTCCTAAGGATAAGACTGGGGGTTCGAGTCCCCCCTGGGCCTATTTTTTAATTTTTGAATCAAAATTTAAATTTGTAAATTTTTGAATAAAAAAATATTGATAATTCTCATAAAAAATTTATTTAAACTAAATTTTATTTGGAATTATTAATTACATTAATTGGAAAATATCTGAACTTTGTGTCCATGAAAGTTCAAGTTTAGATTCATTTTTATCTGAGCCCATAGACGAGAAAATTTTGTCTATTGCATCAATTTCTGGTTTGTCTGGCTTAATTGAAACCTGTTCAACTTTTTTGACTTTTTCTTTGGGACAGAGTTGATAGAATCTGTTTCTAATAGAAGCAACATTTCTATCTGTAAGAAATGGTACAATTTTAATCCATTTCCTTCCAAAAATTTTAAATTTTTCAAGAAGAATTCGATCTTCTTCCTCGGTCCATTCTCTTCCTGGATTTTTTGCTGCATTATAATGCTTCCATCTTTCAATACACTGTCTAACATTACGGCCTGGCATCATTGATGCAATCGTGACCCAATTATGAGGTCCATACTGTGCAATTATTGCTTTTAATCTTTCATCTTCCTCGGGTACGAATTTATTTGGCCTATGTGATGTTCTCGTTTTCAGTTTGAGCATATGATACAAATGATTTATGAATTGTATAAAAAAACCGGACTTTTTCTGAAAATTTAAATAATAGTAAAAGAATTATAGATTTATTAAAATCTTAAATTTATGACCTGCATTGCAATAAATCATTTGAAAGGACGACGATATTCAATTTAAATTTTGTATATTAATTAATTGAAAAGTTTATCGATATTGAGTTTATTTTATCTCTTGGAGTAGATGATTTATTGGATTGTAAATATTATTTTACAAAATAAATGATTTTATTTTTGACAATTATATGAAATAAATATTGAATTGATTTGAAGTTAAAACTGTTATAGACCGAAAATAGATTTTTTCGGTTTTCTCTTCAAATAATTGAAAGAATGATACTATTATAGGTTTAATATATTATATAGCATATAATCATGCTATAGCCGAAAATTATAAGTTTTGAGAAGATTGAATATAACACAAATAAATTTGAATGTAAGTTAAATTGCTTGTTGTTTTTAATAGCTATTTATTGAGAAATCCAATATTGCAAAATTCAAATTGAATGATTGAAAGAACAGAAAAAGTCATTCTTTTCAATTTCGAATATGTTTCATTGTATTTATAATTATATGGCAAATAAGATATTTAAACTTGATTTTTGAAGGAAAATTCACAAAATTGAATAAATTCAAATAATTTTTATTCAAAAATAAACTAGTTATTTGAGTTTAATACTAATTATCTATTCAAACTACAAAGTTTGTAATTTAAAATATTTTGTGAGATCAGATTGAATTAATTCAAGGTTCTTTTCAATTAATATTAATGACCATATTACGCATTTTCGAACATTCTAAACCAAATATATAAAAATGGGAGACGAATGTTAAATTTGCTAGACATGGGGGAGTTGTCTGCAAAGTTTTAGCTCTTATCTCTAACAAAAAATTAATTTTAAAAAAAAATGACCGAATACGTTTCACAGCGAGAAAAAAATAAAAGGCAAGATAGAATTTTCTAGACATAAAGAAGTTGTTTACCGAGTTTTAGCTCTTATCTCTAACAAAAAATTAATTTTTAAAAAAAAGACCGAATACGTTTCACAGCGAGAAAAAAATAAAAGGCAAGATAGAATTTTCTAGACATAAAGAAGTTGTTTACCGAGTTTTAGCTCTTATCTCTAACAAAAAATTAATTTTTAAAAAAAAGACCGAATACGTTTCACAGCGAGAAAAAAATAAAAGGCAAGATAGAATTTTCTAGACATAAAGAAGTTGTTTACCGAGTTTTAGCTCTTATCTCTAACAAAAAATTAATTTTTAAAAAAATGACCGAATACGTTTCACAGCGAGAAAAAAATAAAACTGTACACTGATTTTAATTTTCATTTCCAGTCACTTTACTTATTATTTTTTCTTTTTTTCATTTTAATTATAAATTATTTCATAATACGTTTATTTACGTTACCATTTTCTTTATTCTTTTGAATTCCATACTTGACACTTATAGAATATTTTGATTGAGGTCAGGTGAGTGGGGCTTCCAGGCGCGTTGCGCCCTCTAGCCCCGAAGATGTTTAGTATAAATGAAGTTTTTATTCGGAAAATTGTTAGTCTTCTGGTGTGAATTCGGAGGACTCTTCTTGGATAGAGTCTTGTATTTCCTCCTCCTCTTCTTCCTCCTCCATTGCTTCTGGGAAGAAGCCTTCTTCTGGGTCGAAAACATATATAATTTGTGAAAAGTGACACATTATATCTTTCTTTGAGTTCGCTCCTGACAAAGAACTTAGTTCCAGGAATACAGAAGACTTCTGTGCGTTGGAAAAGCTGATGTCCTGGAACGAATTTGGCAATTAGAGACTTCTTTTTTCCGAATTGTTCAGGAGTTTTCATGACGACAGTAACAACATCTCCATCTGCGAGGTCTTGTTGTTGTTCGGAAAGGTAAAGAGCAATGATATGAATGGTTGCTGCGTTGAATTCGAGAAAGTCGAATTCAAATTGTGTTGTCGTATAACATTCAAACCATTTTGTACAGTTGTCTCCGAACTCGTCAACGTATTCATCTTCGTCATATCCGTAACTAAAGACTTGGAATTCGGCATTTCTCTTGTCGAATGACCGTTGGATGTAACGAGGAAGATTTTGACGAACTTGGTATAAAGTTCTCAACATTATAAGCTTAGTAAATGTTGGAAAAAACTGAACTAAGACATCGCTAAGCTCAAATGGACTTGGAATTGTCTTAGTAAGTTCAATTGAACTAGTAATTGCTTTGTTCAGAACTTCACAGAACTGAGTATTGTATGTAGCGTCTGGTTGTGTGTTTTCTTCGGCGTCTTTGAGATATTTAGAGCAAATTTGTTGAAGAATTTCTCTTAATTCGCTGTTAGACTTTTTGGTGGTTATTCTAACCGCTGTGCCAGTTCTTGGAGGTTGTGGGGCTTTGGCTTTGGTTAGCGGTTGAGAATTGTTAATGTTTGAATTGTGGTTAACAGCGTTGGCTTCCATTAGATAAAAATGAACTGTTTTTTTCGGACCACTCATAGAAAAGTTTGAGATAAACCGTTTTCGTCAACGGAGACCCCCTCTATTTTTTTATTTTATTTAATAGTTACCGTTGGAAAAACGGTTTATCTCAAATATTGAATGAACTATAAACGTTTTTGTTTTCTATATATACTTTTTTGTCCAACGGTAAAAACTTTTTACACAACGGTTTTTGAGAGTCGTCGCCGTTGACTTTTTTGTAGAGCACTCAAAATAGTATAACTTTGTCCGGACAAGTAAGGGTCTATCGTCGCTACAGGAAAAGTTACAGGCGTTCCAAGGAAGTATACTTTGAGAAGACTTTCCCCCTTATAGAATGAGATAGGACGGTTATTTTACAAAACTGACAACACTTTGACCGAGTAGTTTTTTGTGCTGAACAAAAAGTGTCATATAAACATCTGTCAAAAACCGCTTTTTAACTTCACTTAAAATGCCACGTAAGCTACGTAAGAATATACGTAAGAGGAAGGGAGCATTGAAACATCCAATAGTAAAACTGACACCACAACAACAGTTTGCAACAACAAATGATGAATGACCCCACTATGTTGCAACAAATGTCAAGCAACCCTATGCTTTTAAACCGAGTTATTGGTGCACAGAGTGGAGGTTTAAGAGCGGCACTTTTAGCGAAAATGGCAGGCTATGGTGGAGCTGCAGACGGAACAGCTTATAACCCTCAAAGTCAAATGAATTTGAGTTCACTCAAAAATCAAATATCAGATGTCAAAAAGTCAAACATAGACATACAGAAACAAATAAGTGAAAACGAAAAGAAACTAGAATATGACAGACACACAAAGAAACTCAATGAGTTAAACGTAGAGAAAAAGAAGAAAGAAGAACAACTGAAAGAACTAAGTACAGAGGAATATGCGAAAAAAGTGTCAGAAAAAGCAGCAGAAGTAACAAAAATGGAACAAGATGTTATAAATTTGAAAAACCATACTACTCAATATAAAGTACTGAAAGATTAGAGATGCGAGTTTCCGAATATTTTTAGCCCTGGGATGTCATAACCGCTGCGGTTTTGTAAAATTTGGGATAAATTTTGACAATCCATTTTTTGTGGGATGTACGTTTATATCAATTTGCTCGGCGTTTGCCGAGCTATTGTACAATCCTACTCGAATTCATTACGCAGCCCTGGTCACTCAAAGGCCAGGGCATACAATTACAAAATAGTAGAGTGAGACTCTTCTAATTTCTTCCAATCACAAGGAAGAGCTTAGAAGAGCCTCACTCTACTCGAACACATTACGCAGCTCCTGCTCAACAATGAGCAGGTCTTACCACTTTGAGAGGCTTTCGCTCGAGTTCTGATGCAGATCCCAACGCGAGCGAGAGTCTCTCAAGCAAGCTTCTAATTCGTAGCTAGAGTTTCACTCTTATGAACTGGCAGCCAATTTGAGAGACTTTCGCTCGAAATCTAATGAAAAATCAGAACTCGGCCAAAAATTGCCCAAACAGGCTTGTAATTCGTAGCTATAGTATTGATCGTATGGATGTGTTGCCAATATGAGAGACTTTCGCTCGATGTCTGATGCAATATCAGACATCGAGCGAAAGTCACTCAAAACAGCTTAGACATGTCTATTTTGACGGCATTAAATGATTTCATAGGAAACGTCTCAGTTGTTAATTAAGTTCACGTGAGCTTTTATGAATGAAAATAAGTAAAAAAAAAGAATTTTCTCAAAAAAAATTGTGTACGCATTGAAATTTTTATCTATAAATTTAGATATGTCATCAATAATATAATATAATTTTAAATTCGTGGAGTACACTTGGGATAATTGAATATGGGCTAGTGTACTGAATAAAATGAAATAAGTATATTATATATATTATTTATTTGCTAATAATGAGCATAAATTGCTAAAATTATGAAGAAATTAAAAATTAAAAATTAAAATTAGAAAAAAATGTTGATTTAATGAGAGAATATTGTATAAAAATAGAATTATTAGCTAAAATACGTATTAATTTTATGATATTTCAATCACATTAACGAAAATCGCCCATTTTTAATTCAAATGGGCGGGGAAAAAAAATAAAATTCCAAAAAAATGAATTGGGGAAACGATAGGGGACGGGATATGAGAACCCCCATATGTTTGGGAATTTTTCGCATCACTAGAAAGATGAAGAGATAAAACAAAAAGCCCTGAAGACATATATGGATAGCGATGAGTATAAAAAAGAAGTTGAAGCAAATGTAAAGGCAGAAAAACTTTTACAGTTGCAAAACCAAACCGTACAGTATGAAAACTTAGCACAAGAAAGTAAAAATAACGACGCAGCCATGCAAAAGGCAATGAAAAGCGCAGAATATATAAAAGCTAATAATGACTGGTTAGATGCCCAAGCCAACGCTAAAGCAGCCCAACTTATAGGGTCAATAAGGACAAAAATACAAGCGGATGAAGACAGTTCAAATGAAGCTTTAATGAATGCTGACTTTAAGAATGCCTTCGAAGATCTTCATAGTAAGGTGAAACTAGTGAACGACTTCTCATCTGGAAAGAAACTGAAGTCTGAAGGTTTCGACAAAGAGTTAAGAGAAGTAGCACAAAATATGACGAAAATAACAGATGCAGCAACGAGACAGGCAGTTCAAAGTGCCTATGACGCCGTTAGAGCAACTGTTGTGGAAAGTCAAGAAAAAGAGTTACAACAGACCAAAACAGACCTAGTAAATGCTTTCTTAAAAACGAAAAGTCAGGTAGGACATTATGCTGCAGATGAAACATATGTGCCAGTTGGTGGAACTTATATACCACCAAACCCTCCAAGAGAAGCACCTGCACCAGGACTACCTAAAACATTTACATCGTCACATGGACACAGACACAGGCATGCACCAAAACCAACACAACAACCAACAGTTCAAAATCCAGCACCACAACAACAACCAAAACCCACAGTTCAAAACCCTGCACAGCAACCAACAGTTCAAAATCCAGCACCACAACCAAAACCAGCACAACAACCACCTCCACAACCAGCACAGCAACCAACAGTTCAAAACCCTGCACAACAACAACCACAAACAGAGCAAGGACATAAAAGAAGTAGAGAAAAAGGAAACCAAGAATTCTTAAAAATGCTTAAGGAAGATTATGGTTACCCAGATACTCTTGGCTTTAGTGACAGATATAAAGAAGCTATTAGAAAGTTCAAGGAAGGAAATACTGACCCGAACCTATTTAGCTTTATGGCTCAGCATCAAATCGGATATAATCTCAAACCTGGAAAATACAAGCTCGCTAAGGGATATGATTTAATAGCATATCATCCAAATGACATAAAGCCTATAAAAATTTATGTCAATGATGGCTCAGGAGGTTCAAACATAAAGTATGCAGAAAGTTATAGAGTTTATGCTCTCCAAGGTGAAAAGCCTTCATTTAAGAACAGCTATTCTAACGCATATCCTCAAAAGCTAACGGATGGGGAAGTGGATGATATGAATGACAGCAAAAATATTAACAGAAATGGCGACAGAGATGCATGGAATTTGTTTACCATCAGTCAATTGAAGGTTAAGCTTTAAAATAATGTTGGTCGTTCCCATGGAATATTTTTGACTTTAATGGTATTAGTCATGATATGAATCTCAAGGTATGAACGAGGAGAGATGAGAGACTTATATGCTTCCCAAATTTCTTCAAAAGGTAATGTTATACCTGACTGTTTCCAAATGAGTTCAATATCATAACGTGAGAAACCTTGAAAGATAACGAAGTCAGTTATGAGACGTTTTATGTTTAAAGCTAAAAACCTCCATGTTTGCATAAGTATTGCTACAGTTAAATGGTAATGTCTGACTTTAGTAATGATGTTAGCTAATGGTGAGTCTGGTTTTGAAACTAAACCTTTTCCGGCGAAGTCGTCGCAAACGAGCAGAGTGTTTGAAGGATATTTTTGAAGGGGTATTTTGAAAGTTTTGATAGAATGTAGTTTGTAAGTCGTTGCATATCGTAAACTCCTGAGTACTGACTTAAGTGGTGTTTGTCAATAATTCTTTCCATCTCCTCAGAAGTCTTTTGCATTCCTGACTGTATGAACTCTACGATAGCATAATATTTCCTCTTACGTCGAATGTAACGTTGAAGAAATTCAATGAGTTCGCTATCTGGAACTTTAACGACAGAGGCTTGAACTTTTGACATAAATGTTTTCGCTGTTGAGTCCATAGAGTCTGAAGTTGCTGATATAATGATTTGGTCATAGTAAGAGTCATTTCCTAAACGTTCTGTTATGAGTATATGACGAATGAGGTTAAATGTCTTACCTGAACCCATCTTTCCACAATAGAAATACACACCATTTGAACAGAACTCATAGTCCTTACTGAAAGGAAGAATAAGAGAACTGTTGAGCTTTTCACTGCTTTCATTCATGTCTTCATCTACGTCATGTATTAAATGCTTCATTTTATCTCCATTAAAAATGCAAGTCAGAAATATTCAGAACATAGCACCGAGTCTAACTGACAAGAGTATAAAGATATACTATGAACATGTTATGATGAAACCTACCAAAATTCAAGAAAGTCAGTATACTTATGAATATCCAAGACACTGGGTAGAGTATGTAGGAGGTGAGAAAGCTATTGAAATAAGACAAGTTAGAAGTATTCCGGCAGGAAGAACAATATTATTGAAGAACTTTAATGTTTTGAGGTATAATGATGAAACAAAGAAGCAAGATAGTTTTCCTGTTGCTGTGTATGTGAACCTAGACACAGGAGATGACATGAAAGTTTTTAACACAAAGCTTCAAACGGTAGTGAGAGAACAACTTACTGCGGAAGGACATCCATTACCTTCAGAAGTTACCATAGCATATAATTTTGAAACAAACTCAATAGATTTTAAAGTCGTCTCTGCAAAGAAGTCAGGTTTTACATTTAATGAAGCAGATGTATATTCGAATGAAAACTTCAAAGCTATTGCATGGTTAGATAATGATGATTGCTTTAAGAAAATCTTTAAATTCAGTGACTCAAAGATGTCAATAGATGACCTTCGTGGAATGTTACCATCGACGTTTACAGTAGAAGGTTCAGCAGGATTGCTTACAAGTTTTTCAATTGGTGGTATTTGGTCTCGTGAAAACATTGTTATAAAATCCAGTATAAGTGAATTTGCTGAAGAATCTATATTATGTCTTTCAAACTACATGTATTCGCCGCCGAAGCATTATAGTATAACAAACTTTGTCAGTAAGTTTAATATAAGACTTGTTGAATCTTCTTCAATGAAAGATGTTGTGCTACCTAAAGATGGAAAGGATGGACTCATTATTGAGATGATTTTAATTGCATATTAAATGAGCTTGTTCTTGAAGGTCATTCATGATGAAATAACTGTTGTAGAAGATGTTAGCAATTGTTCAGACATTTTGCAGCGTATAGATGATATAAGAAAGAAGTTAGATAGACCGCAAAGCGGTGAGGGCGAAGCCCGTGAGAACGCTTATGTTTCATTGACTTTCTCCAGTAACGAGAACTTTTATGAGATAATATTGAAGAGAGATGATTTTAATATGGTGTAAATGGTAGCTTGGGCAGCTTTAGGCGCAATGGGAACAAAAGCATTAGCATTTGGAGCAAAAGCACTTGGAGCTTATGATGCAGTAAATAAAATGAGTGGAGGAAGGGTTTCAAAGACATTAGATGCAAATAAAGGAAAGATTGGAGGCTGGGTTGCAAAGAAGTTAAGATTAAATAAATAGGGCTCATAAATAAAGCATCCAATTTGGTTGCGACTGAGTCAGAAAATGCTTTAGGAAAGGACGATGAGTTTGCAAAACACGCAAAAGACTTTAATGACCAGATGAAAGGTGAAACAATGCATTTAAATAGAGTCGATGGAACTAAAGAAAATGTTTCTTCTCCACTAGTAGTTCTTCCGTATGGTCCCTATGGAATGTATGGAACCCCTTACGAAAGACCATTTGACCCATTGACTGGTGGAAGTAATTGGTATCATTACGGACGAAGAAGAAAGACAGTCAAGTTGGAGACGTACGTAAAGAAAGCAACTAAAAAGAAACCAAGGAAGAGAGTTATAAAGCAATGAATTCAACAGGGTAGAAATGAGGGTAGTTATCGGGTTAGATCTAACCTTCTACCCTAAATTTATTTTTATGCTATGTTTTCATACGTGTGGGAGTGGTGATATCATTAATTTTTAAGTTTATTTTTTATTTTATTTTTATATAAATGACGAAAACTATTGAGATAACAAACTACAACGGTCATGAGTTCAAGAATTTGTTCTTCGTTCCTCGTGAAAATACATTCTATCAGATACGAGGGAGAAAGGGTAAAGTTAGTTTGAGCGTTTATGACTACAAGCATAATGGAAAGTTTATACAAGCATATGATACAAACGGTAAGCGTGTTTCATTAGCTTTGTCAAAACTTACTAACATTTATTTTGACAGTGATTTTGACCTATATGAAGAAGAAAGTGAGTCAGAAGATTATGAGCTGTTATGTGAAGCACAGCAATGGGAGGAGTTGCAATACTTTTGTAAGTGAGAACGTTTATTTTTTACATTAGTGAGGTGAAGTGGTTGGCGGTTTTGTAAATATTTAAGGTTAAGTTTGTGTTGTAAAATATACGTTACCAGTTTTGTAAAGTGTCAAACCGTTATCATGGGTAAGGTGGAACGCAGTGCCGCCGTACCCTTGATATGTATACTAACTCAATTAATCCATTAACTGGAACAAATTACACGCCAAATCAAATGTATCAGCTGAAACCGAAATACACAAATGCAGATACAGAAAGGTTGTGGCAAATATGGGATACAGATACAGGCATGACTGCTGTTGACACATTCACAGCGTAATAATAAACATAATTTTTTAATTTCATTTTTAACAAGTTTTTTTAAATGTATGTAATGAATAATTCATTAGAATATGATAATGCACATTGTAAGAGAATAGAACAATCACCAAATTTTTTTTGAAATTAAAAAATAAAAGTAAAAAGTATAAAGTAATCTAACCAAAAAAGATATTTAAAAGAATTTTGGAAAAAACGGAATAAGAATAATGATATTATTTTAGATACACAATCGATGTACTGAAGAATAATCCGGTAAAATGATGATAAAAAATTAGATTATTTTACAAGTAGCTAAAAGAATAAAATTATAATATAAAATAAATGAAGTTTAATGAAACAATAAAGGTTAAATAAATAATAAAGATTTTTATTTTATATCAGTATTGAGAAGAAGTAACAGCTGACACTTGGTAGACAACTTCTTTATGTCTAGAAAATTCTATCTTGCCTTTTATTTTTTTCTCGCTGTGAAACGTATTCGGTCATTTTTTTTAAAATTAATTTTTTGTTAGAGATAAGAGCTAAAACTTTGCAGACAACTCCCCCATGTCTAGCAAATTTAACATTCGTCTCCCATTTTTATATATTTGGTTTAGAATGTTCGAAAATGCGTAATATGGTCATTAATATTAATTGAAAAGAACCTTGAATTAATTCAATCTGATCTCACAAAATATTTTAAATTACAAACTTTGTAGTTTGAATAGATAATTAGTATTAAACTCAAATAACTAGTTTATTTTTGAATAAAAATTATTTGAATTTATTCAATTTTGTGAATTTTCCTTCAAAAATCAAGTTTAAATATCTTATTTGCCATATAATTATAAATACAATGAAACATATTCGAAATTGAAAAGAATGACTTTTTCTGTTCTTTCAATCATTCAATTTGAATTTTGCAATATTGGATTTCTCAATAAATAGCTATTAAAAACAACAAGCAATTTAACTTACATTCAAATTTATTTGTGTTATATTCAATCTTCTCAAAACTTATAATTTTCGGCTATAGCATGATTATATGCTATATAATATATTAAACCTATAATAGTATCATTCTTTCAATTATTTGAAGAGAAAACCGAAAAAATCTATTTTCGGTCTATAACAGTTTTACAACAAAATATTTTAAAAACTACGCGCTGCAATTGCACTTGCGATCAAAATTATATATATAGTTGCACAATTTATTCAATAATTTCATCATTCAAAATTGAATTAATATTTGAATTAAGGTCGCCAAAAAAGTGCGGAAATTAAAAACCGCAGTTTGAGTACTTTCTGAGAGTCTGTTTGTCAGAAAGTATACATTTGTAAACTTTCTGACACTAAAATTTTTTTGGTCCTTTCAAAGTTTTTGACAGTGTCAAAAAGTATACATCGGGGCTCTCAATTTTCCTCTCAAACGGCGGTTTTTTAAAAACGCTCATTTTTTCATCGACCTTAATTTCAAACTCTCTCAATTATTATAACTATTTTCTGACAACGCACGATATTTTATTTATGGTAAATTCCATCTATATAAATCAATATTAAATTATTGACATAAATACTCAAGATTCTTATCGATAAAGCTACAATGAAAGTGCACAAAATCGTGAAATTGGAAACTATTGCCTGATTAGAATATAAATCCGTATTGAATTATTCATAATTCTACATTAGAGTTCATGGTTATACATTTTTATATCTTTTAATGCCTGTTTTTTGATGAGAAAAACCGTCTCGTTGAAAACGGTTATTCGTAAATGTTAACCAAAATAACTTAAAAAGATAGTAAGAATCTGAACATATTTTCCTTTTATTTTCCTGATACTCATTTAACAGATGAAACATGTGATACTTTTAATCCTGATATAAATTATTGAAAAAATGGTTAAAAACCGAATATTTATATCTTTTTATTATTCAAAGTGGTACCAATTTGATGTGAAAGCATATATGAAATGGAAAATAAGAATGTAAATTGATTTGAAAAATTTGCATGATTAATCTAAATGAAGAACTTTGATTAAATGCAATAAATCAGTCAAGTACTAGTTATCGAAATGTACTTATTTTATGTCGAAGTGAGATATAATTCATTTCATTTTCTTTAACGCCCATAAAAAACATATCAGTAGAAAATAAAATATTTAACTAAAGAGAAATATAGTGTTGTTGGCATTATATTCTAGAATAATGGAGAAATTAATCTCATAAATGATAAGTCTTTGACTTTATCTGACTCATATTCTAAATGGCAATCTTGATTTTTGAAACAAGAGGCATAATTAGAAAAATAGAAAACATAATTCAAGTAAGGTAGTCACAAAATCTAAGTAGTGAGGCTCTCAAAAATTGAACCGTACTCCATACAAAATTTGTGTACCCTCACTACTTAGATTTTGTGGCCTTCAATTGAGAGGTTAGTTTTGATAGAGCACGTTATAAAATTAAAAGGGAAAAATAAATAAAATTTAAACATTTAATTATATATAATGTAAGGAGTGTAATTCCAAATTTTCTAAAAAACTATTCAAATTTGAGCATTTTTTTGGAAATAGTAAATCTAATATGTACATCTAATAACAACATGATTCATCACCTTTTCAAGCTCTGCAGTCAATTTTTTGAAATTTGATTGAAATAAATGTAGCAAAAATTACATTTCATTAGGGAATATATGAGTTTCTCTGGAAACAGGCTGATAAATTTTAAATTTTGTCCAATCAACATGAATGCATTGAGAAATTTGGATTGATTTTCTGGTAGAATCTGGAACAATTCAACCATGTATAAATGGATCATGTAATCATCATGAAATGTTAGTGTTAGAGTTCAAAAGAAACAGAATGAGTGGAAATCAAACACAATCTGAATAATTTTAAACGTATACAATCTTTAAGTTTGTATTTTGAATTCTACATATATGATTGTGTAATTCGTTCTTTCAATTTTCGGATTCAGGCATGTTTTGATAAAATTCATTCCCAAAAACGTCAATTAACAATTAAATTTAGTGTATTTTAAATATATATATACGTATTATATTTTATAAATTATATTAAATTCGCAAAATTTTAAGTTTTAAACAAAAATAAAAAATGTTCAAAATATGAAATTATGCATAGGATTTTAAAATTTACATGTTAGCAATTTTTTTGAATTGCTTTCAATTTTCATATTGAAATTTTTAAGATTTTTTTCTGAAATAATAAGCAGGAATATCAACCTAAATAATATTAAATTCCATGCGTTAATTTCCCCTCAAAAGTCATTGACCGCCTCTCAATCTAGATTTTGTGAGTACTTTACAATTAATTTTAAGGACTTATTGCCTTAGTTTACAACTATTCAATTTTTGTACTTAAATGTACTTTGTCTCTTTGATAGAATTGATATTTTTATGAATAAACTTAAATATAGCATACATTGATCATTTTCTATCTTTTCATTGTTTCAAAATCTAAAAAAGATCTCTAGAAGAAGACTCAGGGTGTAAATAATGTATTTTTTTTAATTTGCAAACTAAGGCGGTGATCCCTTAAGTGATCACGCTATATATTCCTTGCAACAGTGAAAAGATATAATACTATGAATGTATGCTACATTTATGTTTTTTCATAAAAATATCAATTCTATAATAGGGAAAAAGAATCTTTAAATGTTTAAAATTAGCTCCAATAAAAATTATTTAGACTAAAAGTGACAATTTCAATGGAAGTAGTAAATGTTAAACAACATACTCAAATGAAAACTCTCATTGAATACTGTGAAAAAAGAATAGATTCTGATAATTCTCCTGGTATAACTATTGTTGGAGAGGAAAAGGCTGTTAACAAAGCAATTTCTATCGCAGAAATTCTTAAAAATAAGTATTCATTAATAGAAACAACAACACTCGAGGAATCTGTAGCGAAAAATGAACCAAAGCTAACAATATATCTTAAAAAAACACAAAATTCAAAATAACATTTAGCCTAGGTTTCAAATTGTTGATCATCTAATTCATTATTTGATACGCAGAGTAGTGGTGTTTAAATCTCTTTACTAAAGTCCACAATTAAAATTCCAAGTATACGACATTTCTTTCTACAATCGTAATTTGATAATGAAAGCATGTAACATATTTCGTGAATTGCGTACGAAAGATTTCATTGCTTATACAACCATTTGCAAAAAAAAAGTTTCGTAATCTAAATTTATTTATTGATTTCGAATGATGTAAATGAATTTATTCGGTTTTTAATGAAATAAATATAAAAATTTTATAGAATATATAGTAGTAGGATATGACGGGTTTAGTGACTTTTTTTGTTACATCTATATATAGACGATGCATTAAAATATATTTATTTATAAATCATTAAAAAATTAACATTAATTTTAAAATAATTTATTTTTTATCTTTTATAAAAGAAGTTATATATAGATGATGTCAGATATTCCGCGATTAATTAAACATTGTTTAAATCCTGAATGGGTTAAACTTCAATTTAAAAATGAAGATTGTGAATTATTAAATGAATATGAAAGCCAAAATAAGCTAATGAGGTATAAATATAATGATAAAGAATATTTAATTTCATGGAATCAATGGAGTCATAATCAAAGACCTCATAAACGAGAAGAAGAAATTGAAAATAATGAAATGGAAATCATTGATGACATTAAAGAGGATGGAATTCCTAAATTTTGGAGAAAAACCTTTAGAACTAAGTTAGGAGCATATAAACGTAGAGTATTAAATCCTGAATATCTTAAACATCAATTTAAAAAGGAAGACTGTGAATTATTAAACGCTAATGAATATGAAAATGCTAAATCAAAACTGAGATATAAATATATTGGAAGTGATGAAAGGTGTAAAGATAAAGATAAAGTTTATTCAGTTTCATATAATAACTGGCACACGTTAGGGATAAGAAAACATTTAGGAGATTATGGGAAATGTTCCGAATTCTTCAAATCTAGTATGTACAAGAGAGTAAAAGAAATTAGAAATAATTATTTTCATGAATAAAAGATTCACTACCATAATGAAATAAAAAATAAAAAAATTTTTAAAAAATAAACTTCTTACGAAAAATTAAAACTTAGTTATGTTTATTATTTTATTTTTTTATTTTGTATGAAATGAACAGCTCTAAATTCGTGACTGTGAATCAATTAATGGATAAACTTTCACCAATTCTCACCCAGGTTAAACAAGTAGACGCTTATTTTGATGATTACATACAAAGTTTATTTTATAAAGGTAAGTTTAATATTAAACCTATTGCTTTTGCATTTGATGGTAAATTAATCGAAAATTCAAAAATTTGGGAATTAATTCCGGATATTGAATTTATAACAAATATTAAGGATAAATGGTTTAAACAACAAAACCACCTCACTAAAGTTCTTTGTAGATTAATGATTAAAACTGAGGAAAAAGAATTTAACGGGTTTAAATATCATCCATGTAAAATTTTAGAACTTGGTAACGAAAAACTTCAGAAAAAATTAAACGAAAGACTATCAAAGATAAAGTTGAAAGAGTAAATAAACTCGCTAAAGGTAATGGTAATGATGAAGAAGAATTTGATGAGTTCAACATAGAACTTTAAGAAACTAATGATTATTTGAATTTATGAAATCAATTATTTGATTCATTCTTTCTTCAATCTCTTCTATTCTTTTTGTTAAATCATCATTTTCATTAATGAGGTGATTCTTGATTGAGGAATAGATTTCAAACTAATCACCCCTTTTATTTTTGAAATTTTGAATCCATCAACTTTAAACATTTTATTCAATTTACACGTTGTCAATTCTTCAAATAATTTTTTATTATTAGCATAATAGTCATTAAATTCTTCAACAGATGAAAAAATTTTTATTTCAGTAATTGGTTTAACAACGTTTATTTTTTGTTGAACATTTTCACTTTCATTTATTTCTTCCTCCTCTGTTTCATTTATTTTTAAAATCGGTTTCATTTATCATTAAATAAAAATTAGAATATAAGTGATGAAATATATTTTTTTAATTAATATTAAATCAGAAATGGCGGCAGGATTCTTTAAAAAATTATGGGATGGAATTAAGAAAGCTGCGGGTTGGGTTCATAAAAAGATTATTAAACCCATTGCAAACTTTTTGGCACCAGTAGCGAAAACGGCAGGAACTATCATAGGTGGAGTATTAGGTACTAAAGCAGGTAATCCGGCGATGGGAGCACAAGCAGGTAACGCAATTGGTGGAATAGCTGAAGGAATACTTAATAAAATAGGAGGTAGATAGTGGAAAAATAAATATGAGATCCTATGGATCATCTCACCGCTTAGCGGCTTAAAATTATTTTTATCTTAGTATCGGTGTTAGTCTTGATAAACTTTTTCTCCTTTATTTAAAACTTCTCTTATGGGGCAGCTTTTGGTGTTATTGATTCAGCAACGTCACTAATTGCTTCTTTATTCTTAAATATCCAATTTGCCCCTTCTTCAATGTTTCCCAAACTTTACTCGCTCCTCTTTTTACTTTATTCCACAGTTTCTTAAATATACCTGCAGCCATAGTTGATTATTTCATTAAAATTAAAAATTCATTTTCATCTTTTAATTTTGATTTTTTATTTATTAATAAATGACGACTAACTATTTGGTGCCAAACACTAAACCGATTAATGGAAATGTGTTTCATTCATTCGAAAAGATAAATGAAATATTCGCAAAGAATGACGGTAGAAGATATTATAGAGAACTTGAAAGTTCATGCTATGACTCTGATGCTCCATATTTTGATGATAAACAAACTCATTTAAGAATTACAAATCCGGCTCATGATGTGAACCAATTAGGTGACACATATATTAAACGCAAAGTTAAAGCAACTCTAGTTTCAAATAAAGCTTTCACATGTGATGCCGCTTTTAAATGCATGCGTTTATTCGTTGGTTACAAATCATCAAATCAAAGCTTTAAACAATTAGAAGTAGAAACCGAAAGAGGTGATGCCGGTTATCTTCAGATGGATTGCGCCCGTGAATCTTTCGCATTTGCAACATATAAACCAAAATCAGAAAGGAAAGTTAAAAAGTTTGTTCATTCGTTATATAATATGTTCAAAAATATGATAACTCAGTATGTGGTAAATATATTGACCCTTCAGAAGTTTTCAAGAAGCAAATGAAGAAGTTGATGTCACTTTTGATATGATTATTCCGGTAAATGATTTGTTAGCATTTCAGGCGTTCGATGATTATCCTAAATCATTTGGTGATATCATTCTTAAATATTATGTTTTCAGGGATACTTTAGTATTTTGTCAGGTTGACCCGTTAAGAGTTGCTGATTTACAAAATTACGTTTATGAAAAGATAACTGATGAAAATTATGAAAAGATTATGAATCATGTTTATAAATATGATCGCAAATTCCAACAAATCGGACTTCCTGCCAAATTAATTACAAGCTTAGCCGCTACATCTGCTGACGCAACAGTTGATGACGTTATTATTTCATGCACAAAGATGGAAGTTTTAGAGGATAAATGCATTACACCAGGATACGGTTTAATTGAAGAATCAGTTAAAGCAATACCACGTTTATTCAGTAAGGAAGATCCATTCATGATTCCAGCTCAACATATTGACGTTCGTTCACTAAATGGAGGTTGCATCACTCCTGAAGGTATTAGCTCAGATTTCTCATACGCTCTTCATAATGTTACAGATGTTGTGTTAGCATTTCCGAAGAATGCAATGCAAAGAACAGTTTTAGAAAATCCAATGCTTCGAGGTCTTCAGGTCACTATAGATTCCAGAAACTTCCCCGATCAAGCGATGACCACAGCGGGCGACATATTCTTTACACGTATGCTTCAAGCTTCTGATTTAGATGGGGTGAATGAATGCACAGAAGAATACGAGGACTCATTAACTAGACCACTGAATGATGATAATGGCACGCCATTAGCTAGAACATGGAAAGACCAAACTTCATTCTTATGCACTATTCCAGTTCAACGTGATGGAGCGGGTATATTCTTTGATGGATTAGAAACTTTCAACTCACAAGTTACAGTACAAGTGAAAGCTTATCCAATCATTCAGGGTGAAAATGACACTTACTGTTCAAAGGTGACAAATCCTCCTCAGGTTTGGTTTACTAGGACTACATATTGGACATGACACCGGATGAAGGTTTGAAATATCATCCAACAGGTACACCACCACAGTATAGAAGTTCATATGATGAAATATTGATGAATAGAAATGTTTAAAATTATAAATTTATTTTTGATTAAATGGATTTAAATTCATACACTCCTTATGAAGAATTAGCAGGAGTATATAATACATACATAGATGATATGATTAATGAAGCATTGAGTGATAATAGAAATGCTCTATCTAAGGAAAAATTAATGAAAATTCCATATTCTGAATGTTACTTAAATTCAATCACTGCAGCAATTGGTAAACAAAATAAAGGTAAAACACTAACGATATTAAAACAAATTATCATTATTGCTAACACTTCCCCCTATTCACATGTGTTAATTTATATCAACCGTTCAGGTTCACCTTCAGATGATACATTTGAATCTTTAAAGCATTTAATCAAAATTCCAATTATTTATTTATCACAAGAAGAAGCAGAAGATTATTTAAAAAACTTTTTAATGTATAAAGAATTATATAATACAATCAAGAAGCAAGATTAGAGGATAAAATTATTGATAAACAACGGGATGAATTATTTGAAACACTTTCTATTTCAAATTTTGATAGAGAATTTTTGCATTCACTCATTTTTCTAGATGATGCAGTGAAATCAAAACTAATAACAAATGAGAAATCATATTTTAATCAGTTATTAACTCAATGTCGACACATTCAGTGTTCATTCTTTATGGCTGTTCAATACTTCAAAGCATTAAGCACAAACATTAAATCAAATCTATCAACACTTTTCATTTTCAGTGGG